TCGGGATTAAAAAAAGTCAGGACTTTGGACTTGCTGGCTGTCCAGTGGTTAAGACTCTGCACTTCCAACTTGGGGGGCGTGGGTACTTTCCCTGGGAGGGAGCAAAGATCCTACTTGCTATGCTAAGATTCCACATGCCACGGCAGCCAAAACGAAACAAACAGATACTAAAAACAAGAAACAAAAGCCCTGCTTTAACTTCCACTTGGGGCTGATGGAGGCCTTGTCATCTCGCCCCACCAAGCCTTGGTTTCCAAGTCCATCACAGGGGCAAGATCGACCTTCCACAGCTCCACGTGTGTGCACTGGTATCTACAGGTTTTCCCTTTCCTCTGTTTTTCTAATTTTAAGAGGCTTTCTCCTTGCTGCTGTTCTCAGACCCACGGCTGGGGACGGTCCCCCACAATCTCAGCGTCTAACGCTGGCTCAACTTGGCCAGCACCTCCAGGGAGGGGCCATCCATAGATTCTGCAAGATGGCTCCGGACCCCACACGAGCCCCTTCAGGTCTGTTCCACGGATGAGATGCAGAGTGGAGACAGCTCTTCTGTGACTCACCGCGGAGGGGGTCTGCTTTCAGAAGCCGAAATACTCAGTCTTTTCTTATCCCCTCCTCTTTTCTTTCCCCTTCTTTCCTTTTTCCTTGTGGCTTCCTCAGCTTTCATTCATTGTTGCATACAATTTGGGGGAAAAAAAAGCAGTAAGTTTTTCTCTTGTAACAGTTTGATGTCCAGTGAACTTCCTAATGGCTTCCCCTGCACACTAAGCTGTCCACATGTTTGCTGACTTCACTGACTTTAAAAAGGCTGGGACCGAGGAGGGGATGGGTGAGAGGCCTCCACGCCCCTCGGGCCCGGCCTGCCCAGGGCCTGGGGTCCCGAGGAGCCTGCTGAGAACAGCTGAGAGCCAAGAGTGTCCTCAGCGTCACCTAGGGGGGCATCTCAGCAGCCGGAGGTCCTCTTACACCAGCACAGCACTTTTGAAAAACTAAGCCCATGCTGGCCCAACCACCGAGGCCCGCGGACATTGTGCTGCGGTGACGGTCACTTCACTGCATGACGGTGACCAGCAGGTGCAAGACTGACTCTGGGGATCTGCCCAGATGAGCTGGAAACAGACTGGCACAGAACATCAGTAGACGCGGGAGATCAATGTGCCCCCAAGTACGTCTGCGTGGTTTCTCATTAGTCCCCATTAGCCACGGGCTTCTGGAGTGGACACTTGCCACATACGCTTGCTGCTCAGACAGCAATGACCACCCCCCACCCTCCACAACAGCTGATCCACTTCTGTTCCTCCTAAGTCCAACAGTATAACTAACCCGTTAGATACGAGTATCAAATAGGCTCCCTGGAAAGAGCAGAAGTCACGCAGGTTTCCCTGAAACCGTCTGGTAATCCATGCCTTGGGGGCTGCCCTGCGCTGCACTGAGTTCAAGCTGGCACCGTCTCTTGGCTTCTGGCTTCCAGAACCAGCAATCCGGCACCTCACGGGTGGCCCTGGGAAGGTTGGGGTCAATCAGATCCCAGACCCGACAGAACTGAGTCCACGTCGACTCTGGACCACGTTTCTGGAGCCATGACCAGGCTTTCCCCACATATCCTGCGCGTCTGCTCCACCGGGTGGACTGGAGCAGAAGCGCCCTCGCCAGAGCTCCGCAGCGCTGCTCTCGCCAGGGAGGACGGCCACGCGGTCCTCCTGGCGCCGTCGAATGAGGGCTCACTCCCTGACGGCAGAGTGCAAAAGGGGGGCCCGAGACAGCGCTACCGCGAATGAGTGGGAGCCTCTGGAATTTCAGCTGATGACATACAGTACAGGGGAGAAAACAAACATTATTAAGAAAATAAATAGCACCACACACAGCTGTCCGGCAGAACTGTTAGGACAAAAAAAAAAAAAAAATTGGCTGGGCAGGAAGGCAGCTTTTGGGAAGGCTGTAATAATATTTCTCGTTTTATAGCCCCATCTGCCTTTAGCGAGCCTGTCAGCAAATCATTGACGGAAACTCAAGATTCTCTTTGAGACTGAACAGCTCTGAGAAGCAGTCAAGGCTGCATCCAGCCTCCATCCCCAGGCTGGGGTGGAGGTCGCCACTGCTGCTAACGCCTGCTGGGGGCGAGTCTGCACCCAGGGCAGGGTCTTCCCACCTGACTGCCCCAGGAAGCCCCGCTCGGCCCTGCTGGCCCCTCGGGGGTCTCCAGCTGCTGCTCCCGCGCCGGCCATGGTGGATGCGCCCGTCTTGCCAGCGCTTCCTCGGCGCTGCGACGTTCAGCCCGCATCCAGCGCTGAACGCTGCTCTGCTTCCACACTGGGGCAGTTCCCCAGGGCCTCCTCCCTCTTAGAGTGTAGGTGAGGCTTCCAAGCGGCACTTTCTTTTTGGTCGAATGTTCCCGTCCCTTCCCTGAGCCCTTTCCCTTGGCCTGTCTCCCTGGCCTGGGAGGAGACGGGCACTGCTCCGAGGCACGGAAGGCTCCTCGAGGCTCCCTCTTACACTGGCTGCTTCCAGAGAGGCCTTGAGACTGTGTCACACCCCCCACAACCCCCTCCAGCCAGCAGACCAGGCCTGCGGTCCCCGCAGAATGGCCAGTGAGCTAAGAATGGTTCCTGCATTTTTAAAAGACTGAAAAAAACCAGAGAATATTTCATGACGTGGAAATTATGATAAGTTCAAATTTCAGTGTCGACGAATAGTGCTTCGTTGGCACACAGCCACCTCTCATCCTCAAGGGCTTTCTCTGGAGGCTTCCACGCTACGACGGCAGAGTTGAGTGGCTGTGACGGAGCCCGGGTGGCCTACGAACCTTAAATACTTACTCCCAGATACTTTACAGGGCACGTCTGCCAACCCACGTGCCCCTCCAAGTCTCGGGTAAGGATTTCCACGTACCTACAGGGAGCTGCTCACTGCACGCCCGGACCGGAGGGTCTGGACAAGGGAGCACTCCCTCCTACCCACGGCAGGACCGATGCCCTGGAGACAACACATACTCCTCCGGCGTGTTCTCCCCACGTCCCAGGGCCAGGGTCTCCCCGCCTCACTCTCTGCTTCTCTACGGCCGACACGCCATCACGCTCCCCAGCACCTAGCAGACGAGGACTGCTTGTGGGACCCGCTCTTCCTGTGGCTTCTTTTTAAACCACGCTGTTTGTCTGAGAAGCAGACAGATGATCTTGGAAACCACATGTGTGATATGATTACCTTATAATATACGCTTTCAAATGGTGAACCAACTGGGACGAAAAAAGTGCTCCCTGTGTTTCTGCTTCATGGTCAGCCAGAGAATAACACAGCGACAATATCTGACAGTGGAAAATTTAATGGGAAGTGCTGGAGAAGGAAAGTAATATTTCTGAGTTACAAGCATTATTTCGTATCGTTTTAACTCTAAAGGTGCTACTGAGAAAGAACCATCCTATTTTGCAAGTAGGGAAACTGAGGCTTGGAGGAGTTAAGTATTTGCTGCAGACCTCAGAGAGTCAGGGTTCTAACACAAGTCCCGCCTTCGAATCCTACACGTGTCCCTCTGCAGTTAGCGGTCTGAATGGGTGTATCTTTAACTTGTTCCCTTAGTGGAAACCTTGCACCAAAATCAGGTTCTAGCTTTCCGGAGCCATCAAGCCCTTTGAGAATCTGGGGGCACCTACAAACCCCTTCTTAGAAAAATGACATGAGCTATTTTACCCAAAGATTGAATAACAGGACCCTGGGGGTTAAATGACAATGCCGTGCTGAGTGCAAGTATCAGCTTGCGATATCATAATAAAAATATCTGTAATTGCTATTCGTAAGAAAGCCAGAGACACTGACAACTGTTGTTTGTGACCTACTCAAAGCTAAAAGAAAGGCTGTATTTCAGTTAGACTTTTTGCAAAAAAAGAAAGACATCTTTTCCTGTCGAAGTTTGTGGACCCCACGAGTTCTGCCTGTGAACTTTGGGTTAAGAAACCCCGCTCTGGAGGTAAGCTGGGGGCCAGCCCATGCACAGGAGGGATGTCTTTAAAGGTCTAATCAGGTCTCTTGAAACAATTCACTCTATAGACCTCAGCTATCCAAGAATTAAAATCATAAAATCCCCTGAAATCTGGTCTTGCACGATTACATGGACACTGGCTTTACAGGTGGATGAGGTTCACTGGGTCAGTGCTGAAATGGCCACTGTTGCCTGGGAGGAATCTCGTGCCCTTGGGCATGGACAGACCCTCACAGAGGTTCCAGGTCTGCCCCCACACCCCGCCCTGTGCACACTGTGGCCGGTGAGCAAGGATACTGTCAACCCCAAAACGTTAAGTTTTAGCTATTGAAGGAAGTACCCTGGAGGATTTACGGAACCACGGAATTGAAACAGAAAAACCTTGGGAGTTAATACAGCCCTTGAATCTGGCAGACAAGGACTCTGGGGTTAATTAAAAAGAAGTGATTTGTCTGAGTCCAGCACTGAGTGGGACTGATTCAACTGATCCTGGATAATATGTTACAAAATGACAGGATTTGAGCAAATTCTGATCTAATAAAGGAGAAGTTAAAACATGCCACTCTCAACTCCCTCTTAAATTCTGATTTTTCTATGGATTCTAATTTAGCGGACAATTAATCAGCCTAGTTATATATTAAATTTACTTTGAATACTGGAGTGGATATTTTGCTTAAAAGATTAAATGTCAGTGCTCAGAAACTGACTTTCCTAATACAAATTGAATAAAGCGTGATGTTCCTATCCAGCTGTTTTAAGATCAAAGTTTTGCATACTTGGCTAAATGGTTCAAAAATCAAGTAATACCAACGAAATTATTTTCCCTATGAAAAGGCAGAGTTTACAAGAGCAAGACTTCTTCCTCTTTGTTTGTAATAACAAAAATAAACCAAAGTCCTGACATATTTGCAGTATTTTTATTCCTAAAGGAAAAAACAGGAACTTTCATTGTACTTTAAAGCTATTGCCCCAGATATTTACCAGCTTCGAGCTGTGAAATCAGTTTCAGACACAGGAGACCTACAGGCTCTCTCTAGGAAATACTCAATTAGGGTGGTGCCTCTGAAATACCCAGGGGTCCTGTAACTGATCGGTTTTTCCCAGAGGGCTTCTGCAGCATATAGTCCCGGTTGGACAGTACACATCAAGCCCGGATTTTTCCTGTGGCCTGGTTGGTGACCCCCCACAGGAAGATAACGGACAAGCCGGGAGGGCGGAGCCGCCGGCTGCACATGTCTGCCTGCTCTTATCAACTTATCATATAAGGAAAGGAAAGTGATTGATTCGGACCCTGACACCACAGAATCAGGGGCAGAGAGACAAAGCAGCGCTGACGCGGGTCTGGAAGGCGAATGCAGCCCTCACGGGGAGCAGGGCTCTTCTCCCCACTGTGATCTGACAGTCTGCTGCGAGGCCAGAGAGGAGACGGCAGCAGAGACCAAGGTCGCAGCTGGGAAAGGAGGAACAGGAGGCTTTCCTTGATGGACCTTGAGCCTCTGTCCCCGAGCCCGGCGTCTGAGAGGGCAGCTTAGCGCCGGGAGTCTCATGCGCCTGGAAGTTTGCTGAGCGGGTGGTTTATTACCAACAGACAGAAAGAATGTGGCAGCTTGTTTTCTTGACTCTGAGCTGTGATCTGGCCGTAGCCACAGCCCACAGCGGCTCTCGGAAGGGCATGGACATCGCCGCCGGGAAGAAGCAGTATCAGGTTCAGCACGGAGCCTGCAGCTACACGTTCCTCCTGCCGGAGACGGACCACTGCCGCTCGCCCCCCAGCGCCTACATGCCCAACGCCGTGCAGAGGGACGCGCCCCTTGACTACGACGACTCAGTGCAGAGGCTGCAGGTGCTGGAGAACATCATGGAGAACAACACACAGTGGCTCATGAAGGTAAGGGGGCACCTCTCCCGGGCACGGCGACACCGGCTCAGGTTTCACCGCCAGCTCGGGCGGGAGGGCAGGAGGGGGAGGTCAGAGCAGGGAGGTGGTGGCTGACACCTCTGAATGAACGGCCACTTGCTGTCTCCTGTGCTGCCTGCAAAGGGGCCGGGGCTGAACAGGGACACGGATTACTGGGAGACAGTGCCGGGACCAGTGGAGACGCCTCTAAGGTCAGGAATCTTTATGAACAGGGGAAGTGCCCTTCTCTGCACAGCGTATGGGCTATGTTGTTTGTGCAAGCGGTTTAAACTCCATGACATCCATTAGCAGGGACCTCATAAGCCGGTCGCAGGCACGGGAGGGAAGCTGTGAGCCACACAGTGCCGGAGCCAGGAAAAACGTGACAATCACGTTAATTACGGATACATAACGGATGGAGTAAAGTGCTTTACCAATTTCCTGAATTTATTTACTAAAATAGATCGGGGCTCTGGGTAAACGAGAGGAAATTAAATAAAGCAGACCTTCCATTTCTCAGAACCTCGGGGGTTTTATGCTGAGGGCTTGTCATCTGTCGGTGGGGGTGAGTTTAGCCTGCGTGCCAGTGGAGTCAGTGCTGCAGCCCCTTCAGTCCCTCTGCCGGCTCTGAAGCTGACCCCACGCGGGGCGGGCGTGCAGGGCATCCGGCTGCAGTCACGCTGGGACGAGGCGGTCGCGTTCTCGGGGCTTCCACGAGCCCGCTGCTTCAGGCTTTTCACAGTGAATCTGACTCAGACAGGATACTGAAAGCTCAGTTTTGCTTTCACAAGCTATCGTTTTCATACATGAAGCTGTTTATACAAACCCCAAATCACCCTGAAGTTCTTGTTGTGGGCTGTGTATATTCTAAAGGGGGCTTAGACAAATTGCACGCACAGATTCCTCACTAACTATCACAGTGACATCACATCACGGCGCTTGCACAGCAGAGAACAACGGTTTCAAGCCAGATGGGAACTTTAACAACAAGCCGCTTTCCCCCATTCAACACTCTGCCCGAGTCTTTCCTTTCACCGTAAACCTTCTGTTAGGACACCTTATCTTGATCTCAGAATAGATCTTGGCTCCTAATCTGTGTTTCTCATTAGCTCTCCTACCTTCAGAGAGGAAATGACCAAGCTATTGAGATGAATGGAAGCCCTCCGCGCCACACTCACTGTTAACAAGAGGGGTCGCTTCAAATCAAAGAGCAGAAAACCACAGAAACGCATCAGAAAGACCTGCCCTGTAACATGAGACTCGTTAGTCCTGTCTGTGAGCATGATCCCTTCCGGGCAAATTCTCTTTCCTAAGAAGTTCCCCGTGGTGCTTTAAAAAAAAAAAAATCTAAAATTCACAGATGTGCAAATCGTGATGTTAAACTTAGAAAGTATGCAGCCGCACAGGTTCGCCTGTGTGGAAGGCAAACGTCCATCCTCAACATCTGCTTGCGGGCTTCCCGTTGCTTCCTGAGTCGCTCTGCCACCCGCCGCTCGGTTAACGCCAGGGCTGCTGGACTCGGCTCGGGATGGGAGACGCGCTGTTCACAGTCAACAGTCTAATCTGCCCGACTGGCGAGTTGTTTCTTAGGATACACGGTCAAGAAACATAAAAGAGTGTCTTGACAAATTATGTTTGCTTAACGAAGCCCACGTTAGGTATACCTGGAACTCCACACACAGAGCTCGTGTTTCTCTCTTAGATAAACAATCCCCTGCTCCTCCATCTCTGAGACGCTGTTTAGAGAAGGAGAAGGACCAGGAATCCTACAGGAGTGACTAACATTTTTTCCTTTCCAGGTTCAATGAGCAAATATTTGAACAGTAGCACAATGGTGTCTCTAAATTCTTTCTTTAGCCGGCGAGCTCAGTGTCAATGAGAATGACTTCATGTTGATCTTTTCGGGGCTCACACCTGCTCTCTCAGCCTCTCTGGGCTATCTGCACGTGAGCAAGTCAGGGTGTGTGCTCGCTTGCTTTACTGGCTCCTGGTTTTGGAATGAGAGCACAAACGCCAACATGAAACCCGCTTATAGTGATTGAATGTAACCTCGGTGCTTGTTTTTTACTTCTGTGTTTTGCCACCTGTGATAATAAACACCGCGTTTCTCATAAGGGAGAACATAATATGCAATGGGATGACAGATAAGCCACAATGATCAACAATCGAACCCCTATTGATAGATTATGACAGAAGGAAAAGCTCCATGCTGGGTTCTGCATGTTTCCTTTTCTTTAGGGCAGTTTTTTTCTTTTTATGATTCCATACTTCCTTTCTCGCCCTGATCTCACTGAATGAGAGAGAGAGGAGAGGGGAAAAAAAACCCCACAAAAACCTTTTAAGGTTTTAAGAAAACTTGCTGAGAAGGAGAATAAGACCAAGGGCCTGGTGGATCTCAGGGTAGATGAACACCATTTCGCCTTCTCTGTGGCTAGTAGCCCCTCGGAAGCATGGACTAAGAAAGCAGTTTTGCACATCATCAAGAAATGCCAATCTGCCCCTCGAGCCGGCCAGGCAGAGGAAGCGGCGGATGCCTGAATGAGCGCAGGGCAGCATGAATGAACAGCACAGGGAAGGAGCCCTTGCTGGTCAGTGGGGAAGAAAGGACAAGATCAATCGTGAGGGTTAGGGACCAAATACACCCAGAGATCTAGAGACCACCACGTGGGGTCACATCCCCTTGGTAATCCTGCAGCTATTCTAAACCTCTGCCTCAACGACAGTAAATGCACTTTATAAAATCTGACAAATAACTTAGTGGAGAGCACTGTATATTGCTAGGAGACCGATTTTTTTTTTTTTGTCCTCGATCAGAAGAAACAAGGAAAGGAAATAAACATTTCATACTGATGAATACTTTAAAAGCTATTAACAACTGCAAAGTCTATTATGCTTGCAAACAATGTTTTGAAAAATAAAGCTAATGCCTCTTAAGTTCATGCAAACATTTCCTTGTAATCTTTTTTTTTTTTTTAAATGACAGAAGCACAGGCTGGGAACTGTAAACCTGAATGGAGATCCTTTTCTTTCTTTACAACCAAGGATGCTATATCCTTTCAACTAGTATGAGAACTATTTGTTAGCTGAAATACAGGGAGCAGTAATTCTGCTCCAAAGAACAAAACTATGGTTAAGGAGAAAAACTGATGGTGAGAGGCTCATGTATGTGTGTTCTTGTGTGGCTACAAAACCTGCCAGGGACTGACTCTGTGTGTGTGCGTGTGTGATCTTGTGTGCCTACAAAACACTCCTTAGCTGTATATCTAAACAAACAAACAAGGAAACAAATGAGAGGTTCGTTCATTAAAGGAAAGAAAGTAAGCCCCGTGCACTGTACGTCCAAACAAACAAGCAAGCAAGCAAACGCGAGCTTCGCTCATCACAGGAAAGAAAGCAAGCCCCATGCAGCCACAGCCAAGGCCCTGGTGCAGCGTGGGGACAGAACCACCCTCCCTACCGCCTGCACTGCCCCCATCCCCAAGTCATGAAACTTGACTGTGTTCACTGCTGGAAGCAATTGCCGTGACTTCAGATAAGCTAACTAAACCTTCTAGGCAAGACTGGAAGGAGATGATTACTATTGCTATTTAATTACATATTAATATTATCATAATAAGGAAGGAAGAGATGATGAAAGTTTCACTGTGGTAGAAGTACAACAGATTTAACGCTGGAAAAGGCAAGTTGAGTATAGTGTTTACTGTATGATGCATAGTACAATATGTGCTTACCCATATGTATTACAGAAAAATACACACTTACTGTATGGATAGTTTGCATTACATACAGTATAGACATAACATCCATTTTCCATGGGCAAGTGGCCTCTGACATCCTGGATTGATGATGCCTGTGTCCCCTAGGGGGAAGATGCAGACTTGCCCACAGAATCTCCAAGCAGGAAGTGGACCTGTGCACACACCTTCCATCATATCTGACACTAGACAACCAGCTAGTCTCCATACTGTGTTGTGAAAATTGGTTGATCCAATATGGTCCTTTACAGTTTATAACCCAGGAGTCTATCTGTAAGCCAGCATCTGAAGAGGATGCTGGTCACCTTATAAACAGTGATCAGATGCTCAAGCTGGTCCACAGGACTTATTTTACTCCATAAAGTAACTGAAACTTTGTGTGTGTGTAATTCAAGAACAACAGTGCCAATCAACCCTCCCATCATATGTATCACTTAAGAATAAAACAAAAACATGAGAGTAATATATGGGCCATGTAAAATTACAAAGTCAAACATTTAAAACCGTAGAAAGTAGGATGCAAATTCTGCTTCCTCTTAAACTTCAGTCCCTTTCTGTAAGATGAACACTGAGAGATGTTTTTTTATCATTTACACGCTCAGTCGTGTACAGCTCTTTGTGATCCCACAGATTATAGCTGCCCAGGCTCCTCTGTCTCTGGAATTCTCCAGGCAAGGATACTGGAGTAGGTTTCTGTGCCCTCCTCCAGGAGATCTTCCCAACCCAGGGATCGAACCCAGGTCTCCTGCATTGCAGGTGGATTTTTTTTCCCCCCAGCCTAAGGCACAAGGGAAGCTAGCCCTTTATTGTGACAATTTAATATCAAAACGAATACATTTCCTTCCTCGTAAAATATGAATGGTGGTATTATACAGTGATCAGAATCTCTTTTTCTTTTTTTGCGGGGGTGGGGGGGGTGCGGTGCTCAGAGTGACATGAGAAGAGGCTGAAAGAAAGATTTTATTTAGGGGAAAATTTGGAAGACGAAGGTAAAAGAGAATCTGGATTAAAGGGGTGTGTGCAATATATAAGGGAGGAAGGAGATGTGGGGGTTGGAGAGGGAGGAGAAGAGAATAGGGTGACGGGGCCCGTCAGCACAGGGAGGGGCCGTCAGTGGGACGGCTGCTGTGACAGAGGAGGCGGCTCACACGGTTCCACATCCTGGACCCCAAAGGGCCCCAGGCCCGGGCAGCTTCGGAGGTTCTGGGCTGAGGTCGAGAGGGCGATGTGATGAGT